GTGGTACGTGGGGAAAATTCATATTTTCACATTTACATTTTCAACTGAATAAATCTGAAACACACCATGTACAATTAATACAACATTTAAACATAAACACCTTTATAAACATTAATAAACATCTCTCCTGTGTGGTGGAAGCTAATAGGGAAGGCCTCTGCTGCTGTATTCTAATGTTGGTCATCATGGTGGTACTCAGAGAGCTCAATGTTTTCTCAGGTGGTACAGAGTATAGAAAGTTTGAGAACCGCTGGTATAGAGTAAAAAAAATTAATAAAAAAATCTAGAATATACTGAAGTTGGAGACAAAAAAAATGGTTTTATTTGATAAATAATAAATATAACAATGTCAACCACACTATCTTGTTGATAAGAACCTCTTATCCTTAATCTCTGAAATCCACTGTCAACAACATCTCCAGTAATATGTCGTATTTTTTTCTTGTATTATTTATCCCATATATCTAAAATGTTTACTGTGAGGCCTGTGAGGCGCTGGCTGAAATGGCAATTATCTGCAGTGACAAAACGAGAGCATGCAGAGCACTCACTCGTAAATCAGTCCTCAAGCCAACAATAAACAATAAAGGGGAAGCGTTTCATCAATAAAATAAGGCAGTGATGTTGGAAAAAAAAATGACTGGGGAGACATTTTTAAAATTTTAATTAGTAGCAGTAAGAGCTTGTAGCTTTTCTAAGTCCTGGTCCCACACGTTGTTTTATGCACGGTTACAAACAAAATACAACCTCATTAATTACACCTGCAATAAACTCCTTTATACTGTAAACTTATATATGCCATTTTTATTCACTGCGCTGTACTCTTATATATGCCATTTTTATTCACTGCGTATTTCTTTGAAATACATTAGCATACTGATGAAAGAAAAAATTCAGTAAACGTATATTAGCAGTGATGTCCGATAATGTTGGCCTAGCAATATAATTGGCCGATATTAGCTTAATTATGTAATATCTGTAAGAATCGTTATCGGACGTTGTTCCGATAATGAAAACCCGATAACGCGAGGCCTGGTTTTCGCCCAGATGATGTGACCTAAAAATTGTTTGAAAGTAAAACTTAAACTATTATTTGTATCATGCACAGTGTTGTCATTGTGATACTGCACACCACTGCACACGATGAAATGTGTCCTCTGCCTTGCATATATCGGTTGCATTATATCGGTATCAGTAAGTGATTTGACAATATCGACATATCGGATATCGGCAAACGTTAAAATTGGACATCCACATGTATTAGTAATCCTTTGATATAGGTTAAAAATAATGAACTTATCTGAAGTGGCAGCAAGAAAGAAGGAAAGGCAGCAGCGTAGAGGTCAGAGCAGGAACTAAGGATGATGACCTTTGGAGGTAAAAAGCTGCCAGACATCATAGGGCGAGGGAAGGTCGATGTTTGTGTGTTCAGAAGAACAGATGGAGGCGAGGCGAGCGTTGTGGGGTAGGTTGATAAATGTTGCCCAACTGAGTTGAGGGTTGATTATATCATTTGATATATATGTATTTTTGGAACCTCGTTTTACATTTTGGATCTTTATTTGCAGTTAATATGTGGATGTGATGCGTTTCGGTTGGGGGGGGGGGGCGGTTGGGGGGGGGGGTAAGTGCTTTACGATAAGCATAAAGAAGAGTACCGCAATGCAAATCTGTGTGGGGCAGACTTCTAATAACAAAATGTATATAAAAATGTAAATGAAAATACCCTCACATTCTGTCAGGGTTAAATAGGATTTTGATACAAATACACACCATATACACAAAGCTAGGTTTTTTCAAAAACAAAATGAAGATAAGACTTTCAGTTTCATTTTCATAGTATTCGAAGGTCTTGTAATGGATGCAAAGCACATTTTTGAAGAAAATAAAGCAGCTAACCTTAAAGGTATCAGGTCTGTACGTTAAATTTTTTTTTTTTTTTAATTTTTCTTAGGAATTTCAGAGCGACCCCTTATTTCTTATCTGAACTCATTGGTCAGGCCACCGGCTGCCACGCTGAGCCTGTCTGATCTGTTAAACCTGTGGTGGCACATTTAGCTTATCACTCAATGCAAATTTGAGCTGTGTAAGTTATATTTTTTATTCCCGGGCACAGCCGTTTGGATAAATAAAGTGGTCTCTTTAGTATGCAGATGTGGTTGCAGTGACTATTAGAGCAGCTTCACACCTCAGGAATCACACACAGAAAGCTGCCGGTCCTCACTGATCCTCCGTGCGGCTCATCCTCTGCTATCAGCTCACAGATACACGCTTTAAGATACGGCCATTTGCAGGAAAGTACTTGAAGGTATAAATCCATTTTTAGTGTCTTTAATCCCTCTGTGTGTCGTGCGGTTTCCTCTCTTCTCCAGGTCGTTGTTCTTATTGCATCACATGAGTAACAACGGGTTCATAACGCAGCAAAAGGCCTGGCTTGGTTTAAGTGAGAACAGCAAAATACTTGATGTTGTGTGGTTCTCAATTATTTTCTGTCATGACCCCCACCCCCATGAGGACAGAAATGTTTTCATGCCCCCTCAACCCACACCCCCGCGAATTGAAATACTATTGAGAACCTGATAACATGTACAACATTCCTTTGCTACATTAGTAAAGAACCTGTTACCGAGTAACTAATTACATGCAGGATTAAAACAATTTGCGTAAACTGAAAAAAAATCTTAATCAGATCTTAATTGCGTCTTAGTGGCTTGAATCTTGTTTAAAACCAATGGTGATTTTTTTCTTTTATTTCCTACAACAGTTTCCAGCTGTATTGTTTTCAAACACAGCTATTAATATTAAGTATAAATTTATAATTGTTTTTTCTATGTGGACTTTATTTCTTTATCATTTATTTATAAGATTAAAAATACAGGAAAATATGCGTTTTTTTTCCCTTGTTGGGAAAAAAAATCGTTGAACATAAACACATTTAGAAATGAATGCCTACAGCGTCAGAAAAGTAATTCTGAAAAGGCCGTACAAGTGACATTCTGGAAGGTGCTTTAATTAGCAGACTAAATAAGTACGAACGTAACGACAGTTTATTTGTTTCTCACAGCATTTCTCACAGAAACAATTCAAAGACGTGCTTCACGGTCGAACCTCCCAAAAGTAGGACAAATGTTTAAAACAAAGACTACACAGCTACAGACACAGACATATAAACATTTACATTTAGTTATCGCAGGATCCCGTGATCAATCGCGATTACAAAATTTAATCGTTGCTCAATCTTAATAAAAGACAAAAATGTTCTGTTTTTTTTTTTTTTTTACTATATTACAGAATTTTATTTTTGGCAGTACTTCTTAAATAATGGGGTGGGGGAGGGGGGGGTGAGGTGCCGGGGGACGTGAAGGGCTTCAAATGGAATATAGCACGCTTGACATAAATCTACCTGCTGCTGCAATGCTTGAATCATAACAAGCCTCCAGCCACTAGGTGGCAGCAACTCATAGAGTGGTTTGTACAGATAAATATATAGATAAAATACAGATAAAAATATACACATTATCAGGTTTTCAGTAGTATTTCAATTAGTGGGGGTGTGGGCTAAAAGGAGGGGCGTAAAAACATTTTTCTCCCCAAGGGGGCAGCATGACAGAAGATTATTGAGAACCACTGACATTATCAATGATTTAGTGGAAACATAGGTAACAATTTTATTCATAATAATACTGAAAATTAAAATAGTAATATTTGCTTTCAGTATATCTCATAACCACATTTCCCCAACCAGCACAACGATATCCACGTATTTCTCTTCTAACACAACTGTTTTGACAATTCAGTGTGATGTAATTTTTCCTCAAAATTTGTAAGGATTGTACATCAAAAAGAAAGGTTTCATGAAAACGTCAGTAAAACTAACCGGTTTGGTCTAGTTTCGCTCGGAGAATAGATTTGAAATAGTGAGGACGCCGCAGTTCCATAACTACAATTTTAGGACTGCAATTAAAGCACTTTAATCCGTGAGCGGCCATGCAGTTCTAAACCCGTGGAAAGGCCCGTTGCTGTGAGACAACAGAAGCTGCAAAAACACAAATTCTCACTGTTTGTTCAAAACAGAGAAAACTGGTACTACATTTACCTCACGTACTTAACTCACCGACTATGAATATTGGATGATGATGTTTTTTTTCTGTAATCAGGAATCAGAATCAACACATCCGTTACTGACTGCAGTGCATTAAAATTAGCCCACTAGCTTCACACAGATCACTCCTGTGGGCTCTGGAAATGTCCAGCTCAAATTTTATGGCAGCCAATCAAACACTTGCAGTGTTATTTCAACCTGAACCAAAGCAGTGGACGGGGAGACGATCCCTGCCAGTCATAGAACATCCCCGTGGTTCATACAAAAGAAAAAAGATAGCACTAATTTTAGAATCTGTCTCCTTGTTTTGGAACTGTTATGTCTGTAACACTGATATGATGCTGTAGTGTGATGCAGTGTGAACCCATGGCTCTCTGGAGAGCAGTGAAGTCAGTTGGGAAAATCATTGGGATTAACCTCCCAGAGATTGACACTCTCTTTACCTCCTGCTGCCCAGGTAGAGTGCAAAACAGCCCTTAGAACAGCTCACACAGCCTATCTACTGCCCTCTGGGAGGACATATAGATCCATCTGTTCTAGAACTACTACTGTAGAATGACTCACAGCATGTACCCCCAAAGTACACGCTGTGAGAGGTTGGATAACCCTACGTCTCTTTGAATGAAAATGGATTTGAATTAAGTCCATATAAATGGATTTTTTTTTGTTGGTTTTTTTTTTTTCCTTTCAGTCGTTCGGTCCATTCATGGTAAATTTAACGTCCTGGTGAATGTTTCTTTCAGAATATTTCTATGCCGACTGCTCCCAGTGACCTTTTGCAACTTCAAGTCTCTTCCGTACTGTCACTTTAATACCAAGTGCTGGACTTGTGTTTATTTCTCACAGCTGCACTGATGAGAACATTCATTTTCATATTTATATGTGGTCTTTGGCACAGGTCTACCAGTCCATATATCTGGGAGCTGATTTGTGTCCAGACTGCCCAAACAGTTGCCAGCACATCTTTTGGCACAGGTGAGCTGCAGTCAAAAAGCAAATAAAATGTGATGAAATCCCATTACTTACTGAAGTTCCTGTGTTTGTGTGATTGTTTTTTGTTTTGTTTTTTTGTTGTTTTGGTTTTTTTTTTTTTTGGCATTAGCCAGCAACGTCTTTAATTTTGAACACGAGATTGTGTAAAATGAGTCTTTGATTAGCATGAAAACCTATGATTTAGCAACAATTTTAATTCACCGTCTATTGTAATATATTTAATGCAACAAAATATATTTAAAATTTAACAAAGAGCCGTCCTGCATTTGTATTTGTAAATGTGTTGGAAACCATAAATATATATATGTGTATATATATATTTTTATATTAAATATATATATACACATATATAAATATATATATGCGTGTGTATGCTTATGTAAGTATGTGTGTAGGTGTGTCTATTTATACATATATGCATATATATGTATTTATTGTAAGGTGTCTTTGGGTAACAGAAAGGCGCCTATGAAATAAAATCTATTTTATATATATATATATATATATATACATATATATATAAGCATCTGACAGACAATTTTGTCTTCTTGTGTTTTAAGTACCGAGAGTCCTCGCTTTATGACGTCCTCGACCTACAGCGTTTCGTGGTTCCCATCAACTTTATCAAGTAAGTCTGGCTCCATATCTGTCCAAACCTCAGCTGCCGGAACGTCACAGTTCCTCTCTCTGCTACTGCATTCCACAAGAAGAACATACATCTTTGGCTCCCTGTGTATTTCTTCACTTGTTGCAGCCTTAGGCCTGTCTGACTTCACTTATCCGCTCAGATTGTTCCATTCCCCCCTGTGGTGTCCTGCTGCCGTCTTCCTTTGGTACACCTGTCTCCGGTTGTGCTGTGTTCTCACCCGAGTACTTCATGACATATCGTTCTTGTCTCTGCGTTTTCTGCGTCTTTTCGTCTCACAGCGATTCTCTCTCTGGCCGCCTTTTGTCTCAGTGTGTCTGAGCGGTCTAAAAAGGTTTGATATGCATCTTACTGTAGAGGAAGTCACAGCGGGAATCGTTACAAATGAATGAAGCGAGTTAAAACACTTCCGTCATTAGAGCCGGGTAAATAAAAGGCAACGGCTGACGAGCAGATTGAAGTCTCTCTGCCTGTTATAACTCATTTATTTTGAATAACAACACAGTTGTTAGCACGAGGGCCTCAAAGCACAGTTTTTATGTTCGGTCTCCCAGCATGGGGTCTGATTTATCATCAGTTCAAAGACATGCTGGTTAGAGTGTGGATGGTTCCTTGACTCCAGAAAGAGTATATATACATATATACGTATATATTCGTGGCTAAAAAGTCCAGGCATTTTTCTGAGTTTGCTGTGGACGTATGGAGAATCTGCAGCGCTACATTATGTGGGTCAGACGAGTTCACCATTGCTGGAAAATGTCTGCATACTTGGGGGTGATATGTGGTGCCTAGCTTGATCATTCAGGAGGCAGGATACTCACCCACTCACTTGCTGTGAATTACCCAGAGCTTTGCACTGCTCTGACACGGGAAGGGTGGCAGGAGAAGTTCCAGGATGTCTGAAGCAACTTTTGCAAAACGTGTGTTCTCACACACAGGCCCTCTGGACTATTTTTGGAACATTTCTGAGAGCAACTTTAGTTGGCCTTGTTAAAGACTCTTGGTCCATCTAGGGCAGCGATGTCAAATAGTTTTTTGGTTCAGGGGCCGCAAACAACCTTAGCAGATGTCAAGTGGGCCGGACCAGTAAAATCATAACATAATATATTGTAAATAACAATAAGTCCATGTTTTTCCTCTTTGTTTAAATGCAAAGAAGGACAAGTGTATTAGATATATATATTATTTATTCATATAATTTTACCAAGAACATGCTGATCACAATATTTTTTTATTTTCAAAATTCATCAAGTGGGCCAGACTGAAAAGTCTAGCGGGCCGGTTTTGGCCCATGGGCTGTATGTTTGAAACCCCTGGTCTAGGGTGTATCCTACTTCTATCCAAGAGTACCTCAAAAAAAGCAACGTGTGGGAATAAATTGGTGGATTTCAATTTATTATTATTTTTATTTATTTATTTTTACATATTTTCACGTCTACAACAATCCCGAAATCAGTCACGGGCGTTAGCATTACACCCTGAAGTGCTAACAGGAAATGGACAATGATTAGATTTCCATTCCAAAGTGTACCGCCTAGAGACCATTTAAATAGAACTTCAGGAACTTCGCACTTCCATCCATAACACAAGTTAACATTTGCCTGAGGTTTTGTGGTCACTTATGCATTTCTTTTTTCTTTTTTTTCTTTTAACAACAACTACTTTCCAGTCCTATTTTTAACATCTAGACTTAGTCACAGTTTTTTTTATGCACTGGTACTGCACTAACTTCAGCAAAACTGAGTAAAAACCACTGTCCATTGAGAGCATCTTTAAAAAGGGGAGACGCTCCAAAACTGCCACCAGAAAGAAAGATGCATTCAATAGACTATACCTAGAGTCCAAGTAGAGAGAAAACAGCTCAGGGCTCACTTTCATAATACCTTAGGTGAGTTGTATTTTATTATATAAATTCCAATGTAATATCAGTAGGAAAGAAAGTACCACACAATAAATTAATAATCCTGTTTACATTAAATATGTAATAATTGAATTATATACTGTATATATGCCCTCAACACACCTCTTCTGCTGGCAGAAAAACGTGCCTGTATAAAAGTGTTTTTTTTTTTTTTTTGTACTATCTCCCTACTATGTACTACTACTAGGAGGGGGGAGACAGGGTTGTATTTACACAGATCTATAAGAGAATAACACTGTGAGGATGAGAACAGAGTATAAGCCCTGATATTGACAAAAAAAAGTTTCTCTTAGGTTCAGAAACTCACAGCTTCTGACAAAGACTGAGCTTTCTGTGAAGACTAGGAAACTAAAGTTGAAAAGAAAATTCAAGGACATTCTCATCCCAGTTAATAATTTATGTTTAGACCAGAAACTTATTAGTAACTAGACATAAATAAACAAAGACTGGTTGACAACAACAATAATTACTACTACTACTACTGTACTACTACTGTTATAATATTTCCTACGGCATATAATGCGCTTTTTAGGGATGGCTCGATACCACATTTTCATGTCCGATACCGATACTTGGAGTATCTGCTGACACCCATATCAAACCGATATCTTCTTTTTTATTCCCGCATGACGCTTGCTGCCGTCGCTAAGGCGATAGTGTCCCTGTTGACACTATTGACTTTGCATGTTGTGCAAAGTTAAGTTGAGCAATTGGGTTGGGTATTATCCAATATCGGAGCAATACCGAGTATTGCAGTGTTTCCCAATGTTTTTTCTGGGGACTCAATTACTATTTTAATAGTCACAAACCTTCGCAGCTAGACCATGTGCCCAGTCTGTGATGTCATCTTAAAGTTACAGTAGCACCTGGAAAACTAACGCTGTCAGAATGTACAGCAAGTGTACTCTTGTTTGCTACTGAAGAGAAATGTCTAGTCAGAATAATGGAGACATTTACTCCCGTAGTCCCTCGCAATGGGTTTGCAACTTGCCCCATAATGTTCTTGAATAAGTTCTAAGTAAAACATAAATATAATAATGACAATAAACACATCGACTTTGCCATTTAACTTCTGCGACGTCCTGCCAGGTACCATT